TTATTTGTAAAATCTGATTAAAATTCAGAATCCACTTTTATATTGTGACGATGAGAAAAAAATCATATTTGTAATTTAAAATTTTCGAGATCGTGGTTCTCAAGAAAGAAAAAACGCTAGAGGGCGTACCAAAATACTCGGGATCCTTTCACCGTATTGAGTGTTTTTTACGTATTGTGTACGCCAGAAGGTAGACTGGCTACAGTCGGGAGATTATATTTGTCCGTCTCAAGTAAATTAAAGAAATATTTCCGCCAAATACCCCACGCAAAATTTCGCGGCGAGTGAGAAACATATTTTTTTTAGTTAAAAATTACATCTTGTACTTTGTTTTGCAACTCCCGTGGATGTACTTCTTGTGTAGTAAAGACAAAGAAAACAGCAACATGTTCTGAGCATGCGTACGTAATATTTCATGCGTTTCCATCGGGAAAAACAAGCTATTATAAGCAATGTTACGACGTGAAGAAGACAGGAAATCGTCTTGGAGGACGAGAAACAAATAAAAACTACCCAATCTCGACTGGCTTATACAAAAGTATAGAACACTGACGACCAAGAAACTAAGCGTGTTCCAACGCCAGAATAACGTCAGATGAGATTAAATTATGGAGAGGATCTGGTAGTAAACATCCACAGGTGAGCAGTTTCTGGTCGTTCATTCCTCCTACATTACCAATATTTCTACAATTCTGTTGCAAGATATTGAGCAAATAAAGTGTGTTTCGCATTTGTTATTGATAAAGTATACTAATACAAACCAATATGACACCAGTGTCTTCGTAACGTAAATGTGTGAATGAAATAGAATGACACAGCACCCAGTAACTCCCATAGACGTTAAATCCAGTGTTAGTTTTGGTTGTTCCGTAATTTATTCCACGAGCAAATGTCTTAACATCCCACCGCACCAGCTTTCTAAAAATTAACGCATATATATTTAGTAATCTCTCTAGATTTATTGTTTTCTTCGACTCTTATTTCCATTACAGGCAATTCAATGTAACCAGTTACACTATCAGTCACCGCATCCGTAACAACAGCTTTGAATGCAATTAAGGTACGCGGTTAACAAACGCTAACCCGACACTACCCGAACCGACACTACCCGAATTCTTGTAAAAATATTGCGATTGTATTAATACCAGATCAAAGTTAGGACGCTACACTATTCATTTAATCAACTTTTTGTGAATATTGAATTTTACGGCCGGGGAACTTCCTGAATTTGACATCCCCGTATGAAACGCCTGCTTAAGGTAACGAACACCGTGTATCACATACTAGGTAAGACCATATAACGAATGCTCTCGATATAGCAAACACACGCCGGTGAACTTTTTCAAAATCTTTAGACAATCGTTTAGTTCGTGTAACATAATGCGTGCTTCATATTGTCGAATTTATGAACTGTTGTGTAGCTGTATTACACGATTTGAGCTGATATTTAATAACTTAGTTATTAACTTAACTTGTTATTAACTTAAATTTAAACATAGACGAAGTATTTGCAATTCATATTTTTTTAACTTTTTTAAGATTTTTAAAGTTTTTAATAAGTTTATGAGTACGGAATATGATGGGGCCGTTTGGATGAATAAAGCTGGACTATCTCAGGCTGAAGTGAACTAATTAATGTGTATTCCTTTGGGTGCAATTTGGTATCTCTACGTGTAAGTGTTATCAGCTAGGCGAGAACAAGTTTCCTGAACACAACGCTAGTGTGTGGGAAATCGCGATTTTTATATTACAAATAATTTTATGTACATGACAAAGAACAATAGGTGTTTGATCTCCTCCTAAATCCGTTCCTTAAAGCAGTATAGTAGATAACAATTCTTTTTATGAAAATATTTCCACAGGAATCATGTTCAATGGTAAATACATTGCTATTTTGTGTCTGCGAAAGTAGTTGGATGACCTTGAGTCAAACTTTTCCCATTGCGAATCTAATGGATGGATGATTACAAACTAACGACGAACGATCTTTTTTTTCATGGCAAAGTTAAAAATAACAGTTCTAAAACATTGCAGTATGTTATTTTTGCGCGAAAAATACTGCATACATTTCAGGTGGAACAACAACAAAATTGAATAAAAACAATTAGGTCACCATAGTTACATAAACATATTAATGTTCATGTTCCTCAAAATACTACATGTACTGTATTTCTTGAATGTCCTTCA